AAGGGTTAGGAGTCAGTAATAGCTGATTACCTAAGAGAGGGTTAGGTTTACAAGGTTGTGCAAGAAGAACTTCCCAAAGGCAGGGAGCACGTGCGCGAGGTTTAACAATGCAGAAAAGTAAATTGATATGCCTCGGTGTTTTAAGGCAACTCACAGTAGAAGGTCCGAGAAAATATAGTATATCTTAATGCCCTTATTTGTCGAAGCCCCATGCGGTCCCGGCGCCGCATAAGTTGCACCTCTGTTTTACAATGTTAAGAGTGTTTTAACTAAAAATATCAAGGTGCACTTGTATGGGTGTGTTGAAGGCCCGATGATTGCGAAGGACTTTTGATGGGCCAAAGGACCACAAATGCAGCATTTTACCGGACGCATTGGGTTAGTGGAAATAGAAGTGATAGAACCACATGGCTTCCTACTTGGGTTGATCAGGATGGAGTATGTTTGTCCAATAAGTAAAGAAATGGGATTGAAGGCGAAAATGTAGGCAAGAGTGACACCTCTCATCTTGTTATTCTGCTTTGGGTTCAAAACAGCAAACACTGGAAGCAAGGAGGAGCAAACAGAGCCACGGATTAATCAAGAAATGGAATCTTACCTGTAATAGTATTAGCTACAATCTTTGGCAGAATGGTGAATTGAAGAAAGCAAATGTACAGTCCACCCGGAAGGCCTGAATGATTGGAAAAAAGACAGATATGAGTGAATGCATGAGTAGTAGCCCTTGGGGATGATGAAATCACCAGCCGTATTTTGCCTTGTTCATTTAAGTTAGCCCTCTGGAGGGCGAAGCTAACACCAAATCCGATTACGACGAGACTAATTGTAGTAATAATGATTCACTTGTATACAAAGACCATAAGAAATGTTGAAATGCCATTGTAGAACCTCCACTTTTGCTAATTAACCTCATCGACTAAGAATATGATCTTTTCATTTGTCCTCTTAACAAATTGTTGGCTGTCCGACAAAGAGTGAGCGGTTGAAGCCTATAAGTGAGCGGTCGTTTT